GGCGACCCGACGAGCTGGTGCCAAATGCGCGGGGTTGACGCGTGGRGCTACGACGGACTGTAGCGARCGGGCGAACCTGACGGGTGCAGGAGGACTAAGCGGGGTGACGACTTCGTGGGTTGGTGCGTGACGACGGACTGTCYGCATCGGAGAGAGAGAGAAAGAAAGAGGGAGCTGAGGTTGATGGACGTAGAGTTGCAATTTTCCTTGTCTTSTCTCCCTCCTTGCTTTTGTATATAAATTTTGATCTCGGCTCAGGGCGGCTCGCCCATTTCCTTGTGCTTTCAGAATCTTTGCCTCGRTTTCAGCACCCACGCGTTTTGCGATTGATCTTGATCCTGTTTATTGTATGTTTCGTCGAATGAATGGATGAATGAGCGTTATGCCTGTTGCTTTTCTTTTGCTTTTCTTTTGTCTGGTCCTTGCCTTTGCTTGCCATTTTGATAYACTCATGAGCATAGTAGAAACTTTYGCGTMGTCGTCATTATTGCTTTCATTGTTGTTTATCCTKTTTGATCCACTGTTGTTGCTGCGATGCCTGATGTGTAGTAGCACCTCGCATGCTCAGGAACGATTGCGTGCGGGAGCACGAAGTGATTAGATGACTGGGTAATTGTTTGTCCAGAAACATGCGAATACCGYGCGGGGATGCGTGTAAGCGGGATCTGATCTGCGCAGCCTACACGTATCCACGCACGCCGATTCGCGACCATTGACGAACTTGACACCTTCGATATCGGGTAGGCRGGAATTTTCCTTTCCCCACGCACCTAAACGGATAGGAGTTGTCGATATCACATCAGAAAATCCCCTTGCCGATTAGACGCGTGCGGAAGAATTCCATCAGACTGCAATGRWAAGTTTCTRAGGTCYTGGGACTCGGAGTACTTCGACCCTTGGTTGAGAGAATGTATTAGGCACAGATACCTGAAATTCCCCTGCCTAACCAAGAATCGATTGTGCCCCAGGGAGTTTCACTGTGCTACAACCAGCGATCCGAGGTGCCCCGATTTTCCCACTATGGACAACACGCAATACTTTATATCCCCCGRCTTCGTTGTTATCTCTACCAATTTCCCTCCCTTCTGTCTCCTCCTCCCATATCACCAACTCACGGTGGCTCCGTGGAATTCCATCACCCCGTACTGGCCCCGCACGAAATTGCCGGCGACACGGCAACCGACGAGCCCCTGACACTAGAGGGCCTAACCCAAACGCGCGACGACAGACG